TTCAAATATTTTCCCCAAAATTTTCTGGATTTTTGGGATTTTTACCTCAAAATTCTGTGAAATTTTGGGATTTTTTTTCCACCAAAATTCCATAAAATTCAAATATTTTCCCCAAAATTTTCTGGATTTTTGGGATTTTACCCCAAATTCTGTGAAATTTTGGGGTTTTCCCCCCAAATTTTGTGACATTCTGGGACTTTCTGCCCAAAATTCTGTGAAATTCTGGAATTTTCCCCAAAAATTCCATAAAATTCAAATATTTTCCCCAAAATTTTCTGGATTTTTGGGATTTTCCCCCAAATTTTGGGATTTTCCCCCCAAATTTTGTGAAATTCTGGGACTTTCCCCCCAAAATCCTGTGAAATTCTGGAATTTTCCCCCAAAACTCCATAAAATTCAAATATTTTCCCCAAAATTTTCTGGATTTTTGGGATTTTACCCCAAATTCTGTGAAATTCTGGGATTTCCCCCCCAAATTTTGGGGTTTTCCCCCCAAATTTTGTGAAATTCTGGGATTTTCACCCAAATTTTGGGATTTTCACCCAAATTTTGTGAAATTCTGGGGCTTTCCCCCCAAAATTCTGTGAAATTCTGATATTTTCTCCAAAATTTTTGAATTTACCCCCAAATTTTTGAATTTTCCCCAAAATTCTGTGAAATTCTGGAATTTTCCCCCAAATTTTTGAATTTTCCCCCCAAATTTGGGATTTTCCCAAAATCCTGTGAAATTCTGGAATTTTCCCCCAAAATTCCATAAAATTCAAATATTTTCCCCAAACTTTTCTGGAATTTTGGGATTTTCCCCAAATTTTGTGAAATTCTGAGATTTTTTCCCCCCCAGAATTCCATAAAATTCAAATATTTTCCCCAAAATTTTCTGGAATTTTGGGATTTTCCCCAAATTTTGGGGAATTCGGTCGCACTCACGGATGGTGGCGTCGCATTTGGCTGCGGGAAAAAAGAGAAAGTTTAAAATTCGAATTAAAAATTTAAAAATTAAAGTATAAAATAAAATAAATTTAAATTAAAATAAAAAAATTATAAAATTTAAAAAAAAACCAAATAAAACCCCCTAAAAATTAAAAAAAAATCATCAAAATAAAAACTAACAATTAAAATTTAAAAAGTAAAAAATTTAAAAAACCCTAAAAAGAAAAAAAATAAAAAAATTAAAATAGAAATAAAACCCAAAAATTAAAAATTAAAAAATAAAAACCTAAAAATTAAAGAAATAAGAAATCAAAAATAAAATCAAAAATAAAATCAAAATAAAAAATAAATAAAAATATAAAATAAAATAAAAATAAAATAAATAAAATTAAAATGAAAAATAAAAAATAAAATTTAAAATGATGAAATTTCCTCACTCACCAACCTCCGCTCGCAGCTTCCCTAAAAACACCAAAAATTGACCCAAAATTCGATAGAAATATCAATAAAATCCATTTTACTCATTAGCATCTCATTAGCATAATTAATTTTACTCATTAGCATAATAAATTGTCATAGAAACATTAACTAAGCAGAAATATATTGGATTTTAAGGGCGAATATTTTGATTTTTCATCATTAATCCCATCAAATTTCATTAATAAAACCACAATAATTACTTTAAATGACATTAAATTTATTTTTATTAGATATTAATTAATTGTTCGGAATTAATTAATGAGGGATTAATTAGGATGGGGGAAATTGGGGCACTTACGGAGGCCGGAGTCGCGCTCGGCTGTGGAAAAAAAG